GGGGTGCCGGAGGTGAGGGGCACAATGTCAGACTTCCTGTGCGTCTTACCGCTGTTAACGTAATAGAAATTTTAATGAACTGTACGTGCGTATGCGCGCGCAAAACACGCGGATATGCGCGTAAATAATCAGAAATACGCTGCCCGGGATTCTTCATATTAAATGTTTTATTTGTCAGACAAAAGATTGTGAAGATTGTGTGGTGCCGGAGGTGAGGGGCACAATGTCAGACTTCCTGTGCGTCTTACCGCTGTTAACCCTTCGTCTGCCAGACCGGGGCAGATAGGACTGCAGCGATTGTTAACAAGGCACAGAATCATATTGTCCAGTTCTAGAATTGGGGGGCTCCGAGGTGACCCACTCACCCTTTTACCCCCTATGTTGGGGGGCGGGGCATCATCAGGTCCTGGAGGTAGGAATACACAGAGCCAACCCATCCCAGACAGTCTAGTAAAATATAACGTTCTCACTCTCTTGGAAAGTGTTTGCCCCCCCCCCCCCCCCCGCCCCCCGCGCGGGGCCCCGGCCCCCCCCAACAATACTAAAAGCTTGTCCCCACCTGTAGCAGAATCCAGAGGCAAGCCATTAGTAACCACACCCGTCCGTGGCCCGTGGGGGGCGCTGCGGTAGGCACAGGTTCCGGGGAAATGTTGCAGCCGTTCCCGCTCTCGCCCAAATAACACTGACAGCGAAACTGTGAACGCAGAGCGCCGACGTCCCCCTCCGATAGCTGGCCCTGCGCCCACATAGGGACGGGCTCGTTGAACCCTGGAAGTGCCGTCACGATGCGGAAGTTGGCCGGGTTGAGGTGTAGAAAGGCGTCGGTGACGTTTTCTTTGCGCAGGCAGCGTCCGTTCCCACCGCAGAGCGCCTGGCTGCAGAGAGAGGCGGCGGTGGTGACATTCACTATATATCGGCCCAAAACCTGATCCACATACGTCTTCATCGTCTGGCAGGTCTCCTGGGGGGAGGGGGAGGGGTTAGGCATGTTTTTGTATGTTCCAAAGAGCAGAAAATGTCATTCACACGAAACTAGGTCCTCTGACATTAGACACAATGCAAATGGGGATTTAGCCAACAAGCCTAATTTCCCCCCCAAAACCACAAACTCTTATAACCTCTGTGAATAGCGGAGGTGCACACCGGTGAATGGTCGGTGAATACTGGCCAATGTGCCCATTTTATGGGGCTCGGACCTTCCCCGTTACCAAAATCACTAAACAATGAGGGGAAGAGAGGCTGTGACTGCAGAAGGGCCTCCAAGGGCCCATCTTGACATGTCCAAATGGCTTGGGTGAGGGGGAGGAGGGGCTACAGAGGTTTGGTGGTTAGGTGCAGCGGTTGGGCTCGTAGGACAGAGGAGGTGTTATAGCAGCTGGGGGATTAGGTGCAGGGAAGGGGTTATAGGTAATGAAATGAGTTCGGGTGGTTAGGGGCAGGGAAGGGGTTTTTAAGAGTTGGGTGTGATTAAGTGTGGGGGAGGGGTTATGGAAGTTGGGGCAATTATGTGAGGGGAGGAGATAAGGGACTTGGTGTGGAGGAGTAGTTATAGGTTTCAGGTGGTTAGGGATGGGTGAGGGGTTTATAGGATTTGGGGGGTCAGTTCAGGGGTTATGAGGGTGGTGAGTTTTAGGTACAGGAGGTAATGGGGGGGAGCTGCAGGTAGAGTTATACCGCCTGGTGATATTAGGGTAGCGGTAGGTTCGGGGTTTGGCTCTGACTCCCCAACTTGCTCTCCCTACATATAAAAATCGTTATTTTTTCTTATTTTGTTGGTTGATATTTTGATGTAAATGGAATGAGGAGAGCCGGCCGGATCAGAACACACAGCACAGGTCCCGGCATTAGTAAGGACGCTCACCTCGTTCTTGGCGTAGTCTGTATCACCCCAAAATATCACCCCGGCTGCCCCCTGTGCTGCGCTCTCTCCGATGGTGGAGATCAGATCCATCTGAAGGTAAAAAAAGCAAAATAATTAAAATACAGAAAAATATAAAACCAAACGCATCGTAGAAGCCGCCCCGACCGCCATCATCATCAACATGGGGGACATCACAAGATGTATGAGACGGCCGGGTATACACCATAGAGAGGGCTGCAGTGCTGAGTTCCCGGGTCTGTACACCCGCTGTGCCCATTATGAGGGGCTCCCCCCATCCCTGTGCTGAGTTCCCGGGTCTGTACCCCCGCTGTGCCCATTATGAGGGGCTCCCCCCATCCCTGTGCTGAGTTCCCGGGTCTGTACCCCCGCTGTGCCCATTATGAGGGGCTCCCCCCATCCCTGTGCTGAGTTCCCGGGTCTGTACCCCCGCTGTGCCCATTATGAGGGGCTCCCCCCATCCCTGTGCTGAGTTCCCGGGTCTGTACCCCCGCTGTGCCCATTATGAGGGGCTCCCCCCATCCCTGTGCTGAGTTCCCGGGTCTGTACCCCCGCTGTGCCCATTATGAGGGGCTCCCCCCATCCCTGTGCTGAGTTCCCGGGTCTGTACCCCCGCTGTGCCCATTATGAGGGGCTCCCCCCATCCCTGTGCTGAGTTCCCGGGTCTGTACCCCCGCTGTGCCCATTATGAGGGGCTCCCCCCATCCCTGTGCTGAGTTCCCGGGTCTGTACCCCCGCTGTGCCCATTATGAGGGTTCATGGATATATTAAAACTCCTTAAATGGGATATTTATCAGATGAAACCTCAAACAGAACCCGCCATTAAAATTCCCTCGTGACCATTTTATGATGTTTGGATTCTCCTCGTCGGGTCGTCTCACCTGGGAGAGAAGGTCGAGGTTTTCTTTGTAGGTGGGTCTTGTGTACACGAGGACGGGGAGCGAGTATCCCGTGTGCTGTAGAGCGATCCTCATCGCCTCTTTCAGCCGGTAGTGAACGAATTTGCGCCCGTTCACAGAAGAGTTGAGAGAGGGGGTCAGGTAGATGGACGGGTAAAGGGCGGTACTCTCCTCCCACATCCACCATAGCTGGTCATTGCGTGACATCTCCACGTCGGGGCACTTGCCGGTGTAATTGTCCCAGTTGGTCTGGTAGTCGTGGTTGTAGCAGTCCGGGAACAGGTAATACCCCCAGAGCTGGCGGGGGCGAGATCTTTTGGCCTGCTGGAGTGTCTCCACCATGAACTCGCGGGCGGAGTTTTCAAATTCAGACTTAGCTTCTACGTTCACGTCATTGGCGGTCCAGTTGGGATGACGAAAGGCCACCAGTTGCCGTGAAGCTTGCCTGTATATGTCCTTATCATCCCAGTTCCGTAGCCAGGTCGGCCTCCAGTCCTCCCAGTCAATGATCGCCAATCCGTCTTTATTGGTGAATGGAATGTATTTGTTGATTCCGTCCACCATCTGGAGCAGGTGAGCCCGCAGACTGGCGTTTTGGGGTACGCCCCCATTGACGGATACATTGTGCTCGTCGTAGTACGGGTAGAGTCCTAGCCGCTCCTTGTAGAAGATGGTGGCATTCTGGTCCACCAACTCCTCGCTGGGGGAGGCGCTCAGGTCAAAGAGTCGCAGGTCAAGAGACACATTGAAACGTATTGAGCAGCTATGGGTGGGGGCGGCCCAGGCCACCAGGAAAGGGCGACCGCGAAATAAAGGGGCGATGGTGGGCTTGTCTGTCCCAATGATGGTCGTGTGGCCATGAGCCACAATGATGGACCACAGGACACAGGAGAGGCCGAAACGGGGCGTCATCGGGAAAAGTCCGGAACGGAGATTAAAATGTCCTACAGAGGCGCCGAAAAAGAGAGAAATGGAAATTATAATCCACAAATGACCAGAAATGCCCCAATATTCAATGTACCCCACCCCCACCCCACCTCAGCACCAGATTCCTGCAACACTTCACTTCAACCAAACTTCAAACTGACCCTAAAACTATTAACACTCATCCCAAAAACTGAGCCCAACACTTAGTACCCTGAAACCAAAAAGGTCTGTTATACATTCACCTGTAGCTGGCCAACAAATACAGCAGGTGGAGGGTTAAACAAGCCGTATACCGGGGACAGGGCGCTGATAATGATCGACTTCCGATAGTGAAAACCTTCTTCCTAATAGGAGGAAAACCTGTTTCTGTAAATCTTAGAGCTCCGGCTTTAATGTGTTCATCACTCATGTAAAGTCCATGTAACCCTCCCCTCCCCCCAGGTGACAACGCTGCTCCTCCATTGATACAGTGCAGTGAGCTAGCGTTG